TGCTCATCAATGGTGTTGGCGGTTGATAAGGAGGGTTCGAACATGGCATTTAGCCATAGTTAAAGTAACCAAAAAGGGCCAGCCAACAGAATATTTTTGGAGGTGTGGGATTTGAGGCTCAAAACAGCTGACCTCAGGCTTTCATAAAGGTCAACTAAGAGCAGTTCACTTAGGCACACTTTTCGATTTTCATGCAAGTCCCTAGCTAGAGGAATGAACCTGCTAGCTACCTGTAGGGATCTACTGCAGAAAACGTATCTTGACAGCCACAGGGTTAAGAAAGCAATGTGCACTACGTCAGACACATTGTCCCCCTCAGCATGATAATGACTGATAAACTTGGAAAAACTGGCTAGCTTGACTTCGAAGTCAATTATGCTTGAATGTTCTTCATTGTCGGGTACATAAGTTTCTCCCACTGGCGATAGCCCAGTAATGGCCGCTATGTCGAAGAAGGTTGGGGTGATCATTCCACCTGGGAGATGGAAAGTGTTATAGGTACTGTCCCAGAAATAGAGGGACGCGAATAGCAGAGGGTGGTTGTAGGTGAAACCAGGCTTCGATAGTTTAATCAGGTTATAGATACCTAATTCTTCCCATTGCTGGGATTTCTTAGCTTCTACTTTCTTGAACCAATTTTGATAAGCAATATCAGAGGTGGGGCAAGATCGAAATGGCTTAAAATTACTTTTTACATAATCCAAAACAAAGGGGTCCTTAGGAGGAACAGTTGGGGTTTCTATGGTATTTGAACTAGGAGATTCTACTGCCTTAGGGGCGTCCATTTTGTTAAATAAGGGTTTAAAACTATAACAAACTGGGAAAATCGTCCTGGTGTCTTTTAATATTTCAAAAACCGTAAGAGGGCCATTTAAAGCTAACCTCTTACCAGCAACGTTGGTAGGAATGAGTACCTGTGACGCATACAACATTTCTTTTTCCTTTGAAATCATCTGAGGGGCAAGGATAGATTGACCTTGGTGAGTGATGATTTTACTTTCCATGGTAGCTCCTGCAGTTTTTCCTTTCTTCTTGGAGACTTTCTTGAGTTGGGATGAAGTAGAAGAAGACATTTTTGAAAGATGTTGAAAGCTTGGATTTTTTGACGAGAGAAGGAGGGTAAAAGATTTAGAGTGTGAAAAGAAAAGAAAAGATTAAGTTGGTGATGTTTTATAATGTGGAAGTTTAAGCATCCACCGAATAAGGGTGTGATACGTGGAGATCATGGGTTGGTGTGATGAAGAGGTGGCGTAAAGTTAACATGGGTAATAGGCGTGATTTAAAGATAATCATTATTTGTAACTGTACCATGCTGTGAAGTGGCTCCAGGCGGTTAAGGAATCCAAAAGGTGCTATGATTGACGTGACTGGAGTCAAATGCATTAAATGTTACGATGATTCGAAAGTCACATCAAAATCTTGTGTAGGTGTTTAAAATAGGTATTTCTCAGAGGAATCGAAATACATATTTTAAAGGGGCAATTTGTTGGCTGAAGATTTTGATAATGTTATTAGAAGCCAAATGAATTAAACGTTTCGATCGAAATGAGGTAAAGCGTCATGTTTCGAAGTAGCAGAAGCAGTGTTTCGAATAAGTATGTCAAAGCTTGGAGCTTCGAGTGGCAATTATGGGAACATATCTAAAGAAGTCTCGAAATAACAACAAGGCTGTATCTGGGAAGAGCGTTCGAAACGGAGAAGTACCAAAGCATTTGAAATTCAAATGGAAGCGGGACTTTCGAAGTTTGAAAGTTATGTGCTGGAGCATTTGGGGACACGTGGAAAGAAGAAAGAGGCATTGTTCTGCATGTTCTGAACGTGGCATGATCCTATAGCAAGACCGTTATGGTCGAATTAGTATAAATAGAAGCCTTAGTATTAGGATTTCGTGTGTCATATCTATTATACAAAATACTCAGTAACATTCAAACTACCACATGGCAAGGGAAACGAATGCAAGAGAAATGTATGTATGATAGCACCATGTATTTCTGATTTAATGAAAACCTTTTACCATTTCCAGCACTTTCCTTTATCCTTTTGTCAAATAACATTTACAAGTTTTCTCATTTACAGTCTTTTCACTTCGAAATCTCTTCTTCAAAGTTTTACATCTTAATGCTTTCTTCATATTTCAAGCACTTTATATCTCAGAAAACTGTCATATTTTCCATGCATTTACCTTCAAGTCTTATCCTTCGAACGCATATTTTTACTTAAAAGTCATTTAAAGATTTCTTGCATTAAACGCTTTCTTCATATTTCAAACCTTTTACGTTCCAGAAATCCTTTATATTAACTGTTTTATAATTCGAAACCGTTTACTTCACTTTTATGCAATTTTACATGTCTTTAAAATTAGCATTTATTCATGTAACTTAGTTTCGTACACGCACATTTTGATTACATCTTTAGACTTTCTGAGAGAGAGATCGAAATAAGCCAAACGCATATACAACACTCAAATGTCAACCATGAATATTTGTTCGATCGTGAGAGTAACCCTAATGTCCAAGGAATCCTAGGATCAATCTAGTCGATCCTGTGAGTTACCAGAGGAATTGAATAACAGTCAGAAAGATTATTCGATAGTTTGGAAGACTAGCGGTTGTTTACCAGAAATCACTGGAAACACGTCGTTCTAGGTAACTGTTAATGATTAGCTATAATCTCACGTTTTCCCCTAATTTTTTGCAAAATCATTAAATGTTTGTAATGATGAGATTCGTTTTAAATTCTTTAAAAATTCTTTTTTAATTTTATTTCTAAACCTATTTCTGAAACTTTTTCATATAAATACTTTTGGAAAAACCCTTTTTCATTTTTTACCGTCTCTTTCAAAACTCAAACGTTTCTGTGATTTTTTCTCTAAAACCCTTTTTCATCTCTCATCTCTAAGAGCTCCAATGGCTTCCTCCTCTACCCATTCTGAGAACATCCACTCTGAGCAATACATCGCGCCTGAGAGAATAACTCTCATTCCTGTAGACAGCTTGGAAGTGTTAAGTGAGTTAATGGTGGATTTTGAGAATCTAAGAGACAATGGTTTTGATCTGATTCCTGCTGTTAAGTTTCAAGGTTGGGGAAAATTTTTTGACCGTCTTGTTGGTCCAGTTTTTCCACACCTTGTGAAGGAATTCTGGATACATGCAATTGCAATCTCTAAAGTTATCCTCTCTTTCGTAATGGTCCAAGTTTGGTCAGATTTCTCAAGTAGACTAGGACTAGATTTAAGTCTTAGTGGTGTTAGTCACTTGTAAGATTACTTGGGCATTGTTAGTCACAACAGTTGTTGTGTGTTTGTAATCAGTTAATTATAGTGGATTAAGTCCTTGTTGAGAAAAGTGAAATCACCTTGACGGATGGACTGGAGTAGTTTGAGTTCAAACGAACCAGGATAAAAATAACCTTGTCTTTCCATTATTGTTGAGTTTTGTTTTGAAAACAAAAAGAGTCACTTATTCAACCCCCCCCCCCCCCTCTAAGTGTTTTCTTACCCCTTCACAATGATGATCATATGAACTCCAAATGAAGTATCCTTGATAGACCTTTGATTAATCTTGATGAAACCTTGAGAAAAGATATGAAGTAGACATAAAAATAAACACATGAACTTATCTTGAATTAACTTGCAAACCAAGCATCAAACTTAAACTTTTTTTGGTCAATTGGTGTTGAATGAAGCTTGACATGAATGTGACCTAAAATTATAGATCATGCCTTGAAGAATAAACATTGTTGATCACTTGTTGACATTGACTTTGACTTAGGAAATCAAAATCCTAATTTAGAAACCATCTTGATCTCTTGAAGAAAAGCCCTACCTTGCAAATTAAGAAAAGGAAACAAAACATATTTTTGTATTTTGAATAGAGTTTTTAAAGCACAAAAGCAAATAAACATAAGGATAAAAGGAAAAACAAAGGGTTCTTGGTAATCCCTCACACAACAAACCCAAAGACCAAGGAGTTAGAAGGTTACCAAGTTTGTGATCTTGATCAAACGCAATGGTATGATGGATATGATCTTAGGGATAAAAATTAGGATATAATAGGATGAACTCCCTTTTTGTCCGACCATGGTTGAAGATAAAGGGTTAGAGGGTAAGGAACACTATAGAACTATGTCAACAGTTTTCTCAAACACAACAACTAGGAGATAAAACGACTTATTTATTTAGCTTTTGCCGTTTTGGTTTTTATAACCCAATAACCACTTTCATTTGTGGACCATTAGTTTTTCACATTTATAAGACAATAATAAGTATCACTTTTATGTTTACATGAAAGTATTTTTTTTCCAATTACGTCAAATGTTTTAATATTATTATTGTTTTAACATTTATTCTAAATATTAATGTAATATATGACTCATTTTGTATTTTTTTCCTTTGTTTTTTTTTCATAAATATATTTTCATGTTTACTTATATACATTTATATTTACTATACTTTTACTTTATCAAAGATTAGTACTTTATTTTACTTTTTATAAATATTTTTTATTATTTTCTTTGAAAATCCTTTATTGTTAGCTTTAACTATTTATTATTTTTTCTACTACAATTTTTTTTTTTTAACAATTAGGTGTGGAGGAATGAATATCCTACTAATTTTAAATAAACTTTTATATTTAGAACAAAGATTTTGTGAACGAATGATAATTCGTTTCACACTAGAAGTTCTATTGTTCCTATACATTTGAAGTACAATTGTGGTCCAATCAACATTATAATAATTTGGGTAAGGAAATTGTTAATACTAAAAATAATATTATAATAACATGAACCATAAAAAAACTATAAAAATATAATATCTTTACTAAATAAATTAGATCGAACTAGACTTTATGTAAATTAAGTCATGTATCTCAATCAAACAATTTGACATATTTCCATATTCGAATAAAGTGGTTCAAGTGATAGAAATGGAATCTTAAATTAGCTTTTTAAGTTTGTGCTCAATTTTGGTATTTTATTGAAAGTAACAAGTGTGTGTATTCCTATTCCTTGGCCCAATTGATAAATTTGTTTAAATTCATACTCCCTTCTTCTTTGTTTTTCTCCACCATTTCCATTAACTTCAAAGATCTTCCTCTAATTCCTTGATCTCCAAGTAATTCCTCCACCTTCTTCTTTATATCTCCCTTTGTAATTAATCTATCTTCATCTTTTTCAAATCCCAATCCAACTTTCCAAACATCACAAATATATGTCTTATTCATAAGTTGATCACTATAGAATGGCCAACACAACAAAGGCACCCCATTACCCACACTTTCAATTGTTGAATTCCAACCACAATGTGTAACAAAACATGCTATTGAAGAATGTCCCAAAATCTTCTTTTGTGGTGACCAACCAACAATTTTACCTTGATTTCCTTTGAACTCATTAGGGTACTCATATTCTAGGACATTATCTTTATCGGCCTTATCTTTTCTCACAACCCAAAGAAAAGGCCTTTGAAGAAGATCAAGCCCGAGAGCTAATTCTTTGAATTGGTTAGGCCCAATTGATATCAAACTACCAAATGAAACATATATCACTGACTTAGGTGGGTGTTGATCTAACCATTCTATGCAACTTTCATCTTCTTGCCACAAAGAGCCAATTTTGTTATGCTCATTTCCCATTAATGGGCCAATTGGTAGAAATTTCGGTGATAAGGAGAGTGCTTGAGCCTCAAGATCCATACTAGTGTTACAAAGCCACCATTCTCCTAAATTCATATTTCGCATCTCTTTCATCATATGAAGGAAGAAGAATGAATTATTTAAGTTATACCATGGCATGGCAGTTGCTTCCATCATAGGCAAGTTTGTGGAAAGTTGAATCTCTTGTTTTCTTGGAAGACCTGAAATTCCAAAATGCAATCAAGGTGAACAAAATAGACTATTATATAAGCACCAAAATTTGTTATAGTTTGACTTTGATTAAATAAAATGAGGAATGTTATTCTTACATCTAAATCTTACATCAATATTTATATCTAATATTATCTATCTTATTTATACGGTAAATAATATTTTTTAATAAAAAATATATTTATGAACAGTAATATATTATTATAATAATATATATTTAAAAATATATATATTTTTAATAGTAAAATAAAATTGATTAATAAAATATAAAAAATTAGTTAATGAAATGATGAAGTTGATTAATAAACGCTCAGATATTAAAAATAATTTAATAGTAAAATAAAATTAGTTAATATAAAATAAAAAATTGATTAATAAAATATTGAAGTTGGTTAATAAACACTCAGATATCATAAATAATTTTTAATAGTAAAATAAAGTTGGTTAATGAAGTGTAAAATGTTGGTTAATGAAATTATGAAGTTGGTTAATACACGCTCAGAAAATTTTTACTACTAAATTATTTTTCATATTTTGACATTTATTAACCAACTTCATCATTTCATTAACCAATTTTTTATACTTCATTAACTAATTTTATTTTATTATTAAAAAAATAAATAAAAAATTATTTTTAAAAAAATATTATTATAATAATATATTACTGTTTATAAATATATTTTTTATTTAAAAAATATTATTCTTCATATAAATACGGTGAATAATATTGAACGTAAATATTAATATAAAATTTAAGTGTGAAAATAACATTACTTAAATAAAGTCTCATAAAATGTCATCATAATTAAAATATAGCTAAATAAAATCTCTATTTATTTTTTATAATTAAATTGTCCATAACCTACATAAAGCTTCGAAATTTTTTGAAAAAACTATGATAAAAATATATGCTAACTTATTCTTATTTAAACTATTGGATATTAGCTAAATAAAATCTCTATTTATTTTTTATAATTAAATTGTGCATAACCTACATAACGCTTCGAAATTTTTTGAAAAAACTATGATAAAAATATATGCTAACTTATTCTTATTTAAACTATTGGATATTGATAAGAAAAATAAGTAAACTCTAGCTTTTTTACTTTGAACATATTCTTTAGATTGTAAGGAATTTGAATTCTATCAGAGAGTGACTTATTTACAACTCTATAGGAATATATGCCCCCACTAGATTTCCCAAAATCAATTTATATGCTTACATAATACTATCTACATCTAATATCTAATATATTAAATTAAAGAAGATAATTAAAAAATGTACACTCTCTCAACGTATTCTTTAATTTGAGAATAATTAGTAGTTTTTTCTATAATGTTTGTAGTATATATATATATATATATATATATATATATATATATATATATATATATATATATATATATATATATATATATATATATATATATATATATATATATATATATATATATATATATTATATATATATATATATATATATTTATATATATATATATATATATATATATATACTTATATATATATATATATATATATATATATATATATATATATATATATATATATATATATATATATATATATATATATATATATATATATATATATATATATATATATATATTTATATATATGACATTTCATTATCATAGTTTTCAAAAAAATGATGTCATATTTTTAGACATTTATGATGTCATTTTGATCTGATGTATTTGTAAAACAAAATAAAATGAATTTATACGTAAAAAATACAATTGATATAAATTTATATTTATATTTTATACTAATAAAGAGAGGAAAAACTAAATAATCATTCGTAAAAATTTGGAAATCTTAAATACATTATTTAGATATTATGCAACGTATAACTGAATGAGACAACAAGAATACATATAATTTAAGGTTGTGGACAAAATGGAGTCCGTGGCTAGAATTGTTTCTGAAAATTTTCTTGATGGTAGAATAGATTCAGTAAAAGAATAAAAACATTTCTTACCAGTTTGAGAATCAATAATTCCTTCATCAACAAGCCTCTCCATGGAATCAAAAGAGACCAATGAAGTTGCTGAAGCTGGCCAGAAAAGAGCTCCTTTAATTCCCAATTTGTGTGCAATTTCCAAAGCCCATCCCATGTTTTTAGTGACAATTACACAAGAAATCTTGTTATCACTATCAATAACATTAATTTCTTCTATGAGTTGTGGAAGCATAGAGCTCATAGTGTTTCTTGTGGACAAAATAACTTTGGCCAAATCTTTTCTATCATCTTGGGGGACTC